GCCACCCAGCCCCGCCCCACAAGAAAGCCACGGCCGGCCGCCCTGCAGCTTCTGCCCCACGCAGCCCACGCCCAGCGCGGGCTAAAGGAGATCGCAGGTCGCAGCTGCGGAAAAGGACGCCCCAGTGCGCCTCCAGGCCGCAAGCGCCGAAGCGAGTGCTGAGGATGGCTGCAAGAGCCTGCCCTGGGAGCTGGGCCTGAAGCTGGCATCTTTGGAGGGAAGCCGGGGGGTGAAACTGCCAAGGTAGCGCGTGGATGGCGGGGACGGGGGAGGGGACAGGATTGCTGCTGACAATGGGGCCAGCGCCACCTCCCTGCCGCGGGTTCCGGGAATTCCAGTGTCAGGCTCCTCTCCCTCCCCTGGACTCCTCCCCCGCCTGCCTTTCCTCCAAGTTCTGGGCGTTTGGCTGGTGCATCCCTGCCCTCTCCGGGTACCACTTCAGCGACCCACACAGCCCCGGGTCTTGGGATAGCACCTGCCAAGAGCTCTCTTTAGCCTAGCCCTGCGCACGCCCCCGGGGCAGTTGTCACATTACCCAGGATGTCCGGGACACCCGGGTAAGCGAAACTTACCATTGCAAAGTGGGCGTGTGCTCCGAAATTAGAAGTCGAAGGCCGCCTTGCAAAACTGGGGTGAAGGATCTTGTTACCCACTCTGAGCAGAGGTCCTAGCATGGCATCCGAGGCTGGCGTGGCCTCAGTCCTTCCAGATTCAACGCTTGGAAGCTGGTGGAGTGGGGGAAAAGACCGGGCTGCGGCGACAGAGGGGTGGATCCCGCTCTGGGTCGCGAGGAGTGCGATACTGTACATTTCTGCAAATACTGAGAGAGATTCGGCACTTACATTTCATCCTTGAGTTGGTTCCACCAACCCATTTTGTGGTCATATATTTGGATTTATTGAGAAACTCCGATTAGCCCACAAAAGGTGTAGAACCTAGTAACTGTACCTGAGCGTAGCAAAGGGGACGGTGGTGAGAGGTGCTAGGATTGGAGCCCGGAGTCTTGCAGTCTCCCCTGCCCCGGATTTCATGCTAACCACCAGAAGCCTTAGTTTACTCCTTGTCCCGTTCCCTCGCTGTGGTTTCTAAGTATCCTGCCTGTATCCTTCCTGTTGAGGCTAGGCCGGGAAGGGGGACAGCAAAGTCATGCCAGAATCTGCTCTAAGGAAAATGTGTATAAACTCCTACAGTTTGGGTATGTGCGATAAGGTTTCATTTGTTTGTTTCAGGAAATGACTTTTTCAATTGTACAGTACAAAAGTTGTTTTTCAACTTTAGATCATCAAAAATCTGCTTGACTATTTTTGTTTGAATTACCTCTAAAGTTTCGCAGGTATTTATTTAAAAGTTAAATTACCTGAAATTTGGTTAATGTGATTTGACAAATGGTGATTTGTCTTTAAAAAAAAAAAAAAAGACCATAGCCCAAGAGGTACTAACCTAGATGTGAAACGTTTTTGAAAGCTATATTCCATTGCTCACACTTACACACACAAAGCCACATTGGAACATTCCTGTTATGTTTATAAATTTTCTAACTATTGAAGAGTTAATGAAATGTATACTCTTTTCGATACCTGCCAGGAAACTGATTCCAGAACCAGCAGATCCCAAAATTCATGGTTATTCAAGTCCGTTCTATAAAATGACCTAATATTTGCACATGGCCTATATCCATGCTCTCTGTATTCTAAATCAGCGTTGAATTACCCATAACACCCAATCCATTTTAACGCTATGTAAATCGTTGTTATAGTGAATTGTTTGGGGGACAATGACCAAAAAATACATACGTGTTCCTATGGATGCAACGTTTTTTTCCAAGTATTTTTGATTCACAGTGGGTGGACTTCATTTCATGGAACTGTGGATACAGAAGGCTGACTATGTGTTCTTTGATGGTTTTTTTTTATAACATTAATATTTATTGCTTAATATGAATACTGTATTGAAAGCCCAAGCGTTCAGTTCCCACAATGAAATGATACAATTATATACCGTTTCACAAAGGCAGTGGACACATTACATTCTACAAACTCTACTTTACAGAAATGTAAAAATTCTAACTATCAAAAGGTACAGCTGAAGGAACAGGTATAAATTTGGCAGCCAGTAATTTTGACAGGGAAGTTGCAGCTTGCCTGACTGTAAAGATGTGAATTTGAAAATATTGAGTTTAAAGTAATCCTTGTGCTTTATGTTGATCTGAAAAATATAACACTGGCTGTTGAAGAAGCATGTTCAAAATATTTAGTTCACTTCAAAATGTCATACAAGTTATGGTGGTTTATATGAACCCCTAAAGTGTCAGTCATTTAGGTCAAGTACATTACTAGAGGAATATATTAATTCTTCCAGTACAGTGGTATTTCATCCCAATGACATTTTCATACTCAGGAATAATTTAGAAAGAAATGTGTAATATTCACAATGTTCAAAAAAGCAAGCAAAAGGTCAAGGAACCTGCCTGGTTCTTCTGAGATGGTCTCAGCTACATAAGCATTCATCCTGCAAAACAGTAAGCTAATGTTTGAGCACAATTTCCAAGATAAAGCACATTTCTCAGAAATAATAATGAAGTCTTTTTCTCAGGCACCTCAAAAGTATACAAAAGAATTTTAGTTTGAAAATCTCTCTTGGAAGGAATGTGTTTGACCTGGTATTTCAACAGACTTAAGACTTTCAGGGTTTCTTTTTTTTTTTGAGAGATTTTTGCTATAGGGCGAGTGCACTTGCCAGAGAGACAGAAAGTGAGAAATCACCCCCCTGGGGGGATGGCCACACTGCAATCCCTTCTCCTCCATTCTCCTCTCAGGATCTTGGGCACGCACGCACACGCGCCCAGCGTGAGTTTAAGCCACCAGGTCTGGGACACAAACCGCGGTCGACTGCATGGGAGTCCAGTGACATAGCCATTATGCTAACTGCTGGTCCCAAGATTTCCAGGGTTTCACAAGAGACAGATTTTATTTGAATTACTTAGAAGAGAAAGAAAATGTCTTCTGAAAGAGGTGAATTCAATCATTACCACTAGAAATAATATTCGCTGTATTCATCTCTTATAGAAACAGAAAAATATAATATCTCCCCCCTTAGAATAATATATATATGTATATATGTGTGTGTGTAAACTTAAAGTTCTGTTGTACATAGTCAAATAATAAAATCTGGAAACCAGCATGAAACCCTATAATTCACATGTTAAAATGTTGAAACTATGACCAAAATATGAAAGTTGCTAGAGCTGTCAGAAACATGACAGAAAGCTTTCTTGCATATGTAAGAACTAAGTGTGATACTCTTGAACAAAAGTTTTTTTAATTATAATTACCTCCCAGTTTAAGAAATTTAGATCTAAATTTAAAAAAAAAAAAAAATCTATTCAGAAACCACTGATTTGACCAGTTGCCCAAGAAGAAAACAAAAAAAGAAAAAGAAAAAAGCTGTAAGCAGGACCCAGAGAAGCTGATGTTCACAGTTCCTACATATACAACTCTTTCAGGGTTTATCCATAAAGTACTTAATTTTATAACCTGCTTCTCTTGTCAAACTAAAGGCCCACTTGATTACATACAAGTTTTTATACAGTGTAAAACCAGAGCTGTATGTAAAGTACTGCATCTCAGTAGTTAGGCTCGTTCCATCGGTTCATCTGTGACTTCTGTGGCTTCCTCGTCATTATCCATGGACGGTTCTGATATAGCCTCTTTGGATCCCACTCAATCTTCTGTTTCACAGCAGTCAGAACCACTACTTCCAGGGCCTGCATTTTCTCTCCCTGCAGAATGTCAGTCCTGCTCACCTTGAGACAGATCAGATTCCTGCATTTGATTATTCTCAGCAGTCTCTTCATTCACAGTGAGGCCATCGTCAGATTATTTTTCTTGATGTTTTTCTTACTGGGCTCATGTCTCTTGATGTCATAAAAGACTCTTCTTCCTCCTCTTCTGTACAGTGCTGCCTGCTACAACTACTTTCTTTGTCTTTGTCCTGAGAGGAAGATGATGCTTCTGTTTCTTCAACCGTAACAGAAATTTCACTGGAAGTCGTTTGGCTGGCTGTCTCTCTGACTTCACCTTCTTTGTCAAACCTGACTCTGTTTACCTCATGCCCCTCAGCTCCCACAGCAACTTCACCTGGATGTTTATTTTTTATAGGGCTCACTGAGGAAACCTCTGATTCAGAGACCTCAGAATCCCTGTGATTTTTCTCTTTATTCAGCTGTAAGTTGGACTATGCTGTCTCTCTCAGGCGAACCATTAGTTGTCATGGGGGCTGACAAAGAAACCTTCCGTCGATTAAGTGGCCTGGGTACTCCAGGCCCACTTACATCAGACTGTCAGTATAGCCTGGTGAATCTCCAGGAGACAGAACACCGTTCATTTGATTTAAACTATTGGAACTATTTTTCTCTGAAGAAGGATAAACACGGCTAACAACCGTCACATCCTTTCTGCTCCTCTGAGAAATCTATCTGTCCCTGTATAGTTTCTCCTTGGATCTGTTAGCAATTCACACAGGGACACCATTAAACCCAGTGACAATTTTCAGCATCTTTCCTTCATTTCATCAAAGGGAATATATTTGACATTAGGATTAGGAGGACCTCTTAGTTCAGGAGCTGAAGTTCTGAAATCATCCATCACTTTCTCCAGTTTGGTAATAAAATAGCCTTTAAATGGGGACCACTGAGTCCGTTCCGACCCGAAGGAGAATATAGATGTTTCCCGGCCAATGCACGGCAGTATGACTCATGAACGTGGGGGCGCAGGGGGCGCAGGGTGATCTGGCCTACACTTGCAGTGAGATGCGGGTTTTTGTCCCATGCTAAGGAAGGATTAAGAGTTGTGGACACAGAAGAGTAGGTATACCAAAGCAGGGAGTTTATTAAAGGAGAAAGAAGAAAAAACAGAGCTCCCTAGAAGGGTTGCCCTCTTTGATGGAATTTTCAACTTATACTCTCTAAGGTTTTTTCCTTAGCTCTAAGGAGCTATACCCCCATCGATGGACATTTAAATGTACATACAGATTAGGTTTTCTTTAGGTGGGGTGTAAAGTTGAATTTATATTCTGTTCTGGACAACCAGCTATCACCAGGCTCAGCTGGCTTGTCACCCCTACTTACAAATCTTTTCACTATTTTGTGACATAGATGAATTTGCACTTATTAGCCATTTATCAGTAGCTCATCTGGTTTCAGGGTATTCAATTAAAGTTCTCTTTGCTAAATTTGTTCTGGCTAG